ATAATAGGTTTGCAAAATGCAAAACCCTTGATGCATGGTTCAAACGCCCAGAACAATCGATGAAATATTCCATTTCCACTAACACGAGTTCTGTCTGGGGTAAATGCCGGAAGTGTCTCCAAAACTATAACAGTTCCTGGAGCATAATATTTGAGTGCCACCAAAAATCTTGGAAGTTCTTTGTACGATTCCTCCCAATTACCGTACACAAGTTCAACTGCCTTAGTCCTCCCAATCCATGCTTTCCTATAAGAGGGAGTATAATTGAATCTTGTAGCGATATAAAAAATGATTATACTCACCTTTAATGTTGAATCCTTGCTAATAAGAGGCAATATTTCTTGACATATTAGTTGAGAACTAAGTTTCCGATGATCCTGCGTCGGAACGGTGGTGATGCAAGTGTGGAGTGGATCAATGGAACCTATTTCCCATGAATCACTTCTCTTCCTGCAAGATGCAGTTAACCGAAAAGGGCAAATTAGTTTTTGACGACATAAAATAACGTACTTCCCTGAACTATTTTTATCTACAATGAAGTCAGCTAAAATTTCCATGTGGTATTTTTTGATAGCTCTAAGACACTCTTCTTGTGTTCAAAATCCGTCTCCAACTTTCAAGGCCCCTTCGGTCTGCATATAAGGATTATGAAAGATATCTGAGGCTGGTTCATCTTCCCCTAAGTTCAAGTTCGTCATGTGAAACGGAGGGTCGTATGCATGACTCGTAGGTACAGGTTCATGCTCTTGATCTGCAGCGTCATCATTGACCATAAAATCAATCATTGCCTCATCATCTTCTTCTTCTTGGTCAATAACATCGACTTCGGGATGGTTTTCCTCGTCAAATTCATCCTCTTCTTCAAAGTCTTGAGAAGGATCTACCACCTGAGATTGACCTGGTTGTTGTAATAAAACATACAACTCAATCTCATTGAACCCAAATTGTTCATGAGTTCGAAACATGTTTCGAACATCATCATTATCGTGCACCTTTAGTTGATAAAATCTGACTTGGTTGTTGTCAAATAGAAATGGGGACTTGTAAAGAATTTGGTAAACTGAACCATACTGCAATTTGACTTCTAGTCTATCTTTGAAGCGTGCAAAACTTAATTTTTTATTTGTCCGAAAGCGGATAAAATCGGTATTACGGAAATTAAAACTGAAGCTATCGCAATTGAACATCTCACCATTAATATGGGCAACAATAGTATAATTTTGTGAATGGTCCATGCTGTTGAGGTATGCTTTTTGTGAGTTATGGATGTATACTAGTAATGCACCCTACACAGACGATTAAATAGACTGATTAAAGTATAATCTATATTTTGCATGCATGCGTCACCTAGGGTGGCTTGTCCTTTTTTTTTTGCATGCATGCGCCACCTAAGGTGGCTTGTCATTGAACAACAAAATTACATGCATGCCATCTGATCCCTGCCACGTTGCAGGTTTGCATGCATGCAAAAAGTAACAAGCCATGTTGAATGGCGCCTATGTGTATCAAAAAGAGCATGCGCCACCTAGTGTGGCGCCTATGTGTATTAAACAAGAGCATGCACCACCTAGGGCGGCGCCTATGTGTATCTCTTGCATACAAAGTATTGTCACGTGAATGCATAGTGTTCTTCAAGATTTTCCTATAAATACATATAACATTCACCCTATATGTTCATCACAATCATAACTCACACACTATTTCTTTCTTGAAACATCAACAACAACACAAGAGTAATCAAGAAAAAATGTCTCTCTTGACCATGGGTGATCAACATAGAGGAACACTTAACAACATTCAAACTTTTGTAAGTGTATCCGTAATTCTTATGGTTGTTATACGTAAATCTTGTATTCCTTATACGTAATTCATGTTTTAATAGGATGTTAAAAGATTTTGTTGTCGTGTCCATGAGTATGTCCCTCACGATGTTCAAATTGAATCGTACTTACGACATGCCGATTTTGGTTAGTTACTCAACATAGTCAATTACCATGTTGACTATAAAATTATTCTCACATTAGTGGAGAGATAGAGACCCGAAACTCACACCTTTCATCTTCCATGTGGTGAATGTACAGTCACACTAGAGGATGTGTACATGTTATTCGGTCTACCAATCGATGGTAAGACTGTCAATGACCGAGTCAACCAAGACAACGCCATATGCGAGGAACTTTTGGGAGTATCTTTATTTGAACAAGGGTCTAGAGGCCAAGGTATTAATCTCCGTCTTCTTAGAGAATATCATAGTAGTCTCGTAATAATCAAAAACTCTATCGAACAAGAAAAAAATTGTAAAAGCTCGGTGTTACATAATGATATTATTTGGCCACTTTTTATTTCCTGAAATAACGGGTAATACTGTTAATATCATGTATTTATCCCTGTTAAGATAATTTGATAAAATAAACACATATAGTTGGGGCTCTGCTGTTTTGGCCCATCTGTATAGTTCATTGTGTAAAAATGCATCAAACGACAGCTGTTCTTTCTATTCCCGCGCCTTTTTGCTCCAGGCATGGTGTTGGTCGAGAATGCTGACACTCCCCCCCTGCCCCGCAACATAAGGCCATTCGTCTTTCCCTTTGCTACAAAGTAAGATTACGAAATCATAAATTTTATATACTATATACTGTAACCAACATGTATTAATTTATTACCCATTTTTTCTATATAGGTGGTCTGTTCTGGGATGAATTACAATAATATGCACCATCCTCATCCTACCACAACACCCAAGACACATATGATACATCTCCTTCCTACCATACCATCCAACCTACATACACTCAAACATCACATCATCAAAGTACCCAACCATCATACGAATTTCATACACCACAAGAACCGTTGCTTCGTTTCCATCACAATTCAACATCTCAATATTATCAACCACCCCACCCACATATATCCCAACCAATAAGACCAAACTTTAACAACATGGGCATCGATCTCTTTGGAAGCACAACACAGTGGGGGCGAAATGATCGATGAGATGTATGATCATGATGTACGAGGATCATCACATCAAGCACCTCATAATCAAGCGAGTTAGAACAAACGCCAAACACCTCAGAAAAATCAACAGAGAAGAGTGAGACAAGGGGTGAGGCAAAGACGAAGCCGTTTATGTCATACTGAGACCCGCTTAGGTTGAGGGACCGTCCAAAAAAAATGTATTCATGCGTTGTGCAATATAAAATATTTTTAATTACTTTTATTTTTATTTAAAAAAATTTAATAAATAACACTGTAAAGCCAAAGAAGATGACGCCTCCTCTCTATCAATACATGCATACGCCACACTGCATGATTTTACAGAGGAGGACAAGTCATGTAGTATGACGCCTCCTCTCTAAAAAGCATGCATGTGCCACAGATAGTTGCTACTCCTCTATGTGGTGAATTTTTTTGTTTGAAAAGTGGTTAGTTTAGTAAATTTTTTTGAAAATGTGATTATTTGGGAAATTTTGAAAAATGTGATTATTTGAAAAAAAATTCCACATTTTAAAATTAGAGAAATGTTTTTGTTATTTTAATAGATTTTAGCGGTGGTGAGTATAAATTTTCAAAAAATAATATATTAAAGATAGTTTAACCCAAATAAAAAAGTTATAAAAGTAAAAGTTTAAAGCTTTGTTTAGCAAGTCATATGTTGAGTTTATAGTTTATAAGTTCGTATGAGAATAAAATATTTGTTTGATAATAATTTTTTCATCACGAACTTATAATTTATTTTTTTCAGAAATTATTTTAAATAGTATTTTAGCTTATAACTTATACAATACGTTATTATTTGTATCTTCTATTATTACTCTTATAAATTTCAAATATTTTAAATATATATTTTATTATTAATTAAAAAATATTTTTTATATTATTTTATATTTATCAGCTAATTAAATCATTAATTTTATTAAACAATTCAATTAGTTTATCGATTATCAGTCATCCACTACCAATTATAAATTCTAAACTATCATCTATCAATCATAAATTATAAACTATTTGTCTTATTTTTTATGCAGTTCTTAAGAAAATAATTAGATGTATTAATTCTAATGATAAAATTAATATCATTTACTAAAACATCCTTATTTATTATATTTAGTAGAATAGTTGAAAAACGTGAAAACTAATAAACAAGGATATAATAATGGAAAAAATAATAAATATTGTATTGGTATTTTAAAGAGATATTTATTTTGAGACATAAAAAAATACAAATGAAACATTTAATATGAGATAGAGGGAGTGCTAATTTTTACGTTTTTCAACATCCACTAACTATAATAAATAAGAGTGTTTTAGTAAATAATACTTCATCCGTCTCAAAATAAATGTCCTCTTCGAAATTTTCACAGTTTTTAAAATAATGATTAATTATGTTAATTTCAATATTAAAATGAATCTCATTTACAAAAAAAACTTTATTAATAATAAATAGTGGAATAATTATATGAATTAAAATATAATAAATAAGGATAAGTTAGTGAAAAAATATAATAGATATTATATTAATATTTTAAAAAAATAAATAATTTAAAACAAATAAAAATAGAAAATATAATACTTATTATACGACATAATTTTTTTATTATTAAAATCAACATATATAATCATTTTCTTAAGTAATTCAAGATAATAAATATAAAATCGTAAGAACTAATTTATTAATCATCCGCTATTTTAAAGGTAATAAAAGAATTGACTCCTTTTATAATGTTTAAAAACAAAAACCATTAAAATTAAATACACACATTTACTTTTTTTTCATCCGTTAACAACCTTTGTCATAACAAGTAATTTAGGTTGATAGAAAACAAATCACAAAAGCAAAAACCTTATCGTTACTGATTTCTATTTCTAAGTCATGATTGAATTTCCAGGCACAATTCTCAATGCGAGACACAAATTTATAATTCTGTCTTATTTACCGCTAATTATCGTCAACAACGTTGCCGAAACAAACAACCTCGTATTCGCATGTTAAAAACATGTTTTGGTCATGGACCTCTGCTCTAAAGATCACTCTTCTTCTTCTCCTCGTTTCCTCTGTTATTGCTGCTATCTTGATTCTCCCAATTCAAAAGGTTCGTTTTTTCGTCCAATTTCTCTTCTGGGTCATCGAATAGGGTAGGTGCATTTGTCTTCAATTGATTAATTTTCGATTTAGGTATTCCTTTGAATCACATTTGGATTTTCGTTCCTGAAAAATTACCCTAAATTGTTGCTATGCAGATTTTGAATGATTTCTTGATATGGGTTGATCGTGATCTTGGGCCATGGGGTCCCCTTGCTCTGTAAGTCAAACAAACCTGTTGAATTTTGTTCAATCTCATACTAGCTGTTAATGTTAGGTCATTAACGTGGATTCAATTTGTGAACTCAATCACTCATATTTGTTATGCTATTTTCAGGGCAATTGCTTACATTCCTTTAACTATATTGGCTGTTCCGGCGTCTGTACTTACGGTAAGCATCTCTATTGAACTGGCATTTCTTGCAAACCTTGTTCAACTTCTTATACCTGCAAAACACTTTTGACTTGTCTGCATTAGTGTTATTTAATGGTTGACATGGCGCCGCCATGGCTGAATGGCATGTCGGGTTTTTTGACGACGGCCACAGGCAATTTATGAATGGATGCCTGCCATGGCGACGCCATAGGCTGCAACAGCGTGTTTATATGGCGGTCTTTTGGCTTTCCTGCATTTTCCCGCCACCCGCTCTCGACTCTACTGGTCTGCATGATTGGTTAATCCTTTAGTTAGTTAGCAAGTTAGCTAGTTAGTCTTAGAGTTAAGCTGCAATGTATATAAATAAGGGGAAGGAACTCGCCAAACAATAAGAGGATGGGATTAGAGAAAAGATACGCTGTCATTTCGAAACAATGGGCAGAGCTTTGGGCATAGCGAGGTTTGCAGACCTTTGAAGTTCTGATGTGTTTTATCTTTGTAATTGAGATTTATACCTATTCCTTTTTTTAATAAGAATACCGGTTCCTGTTGCTGATTTGTTGCTTAGATATATTCTTTAAAACAATTGTTTGGCTGTGACTGTCGCCTTTAGGTATCTGTTAATTTATAAGTTGGGTTTATCACAAGTCATCATTTTACCTGTTTAAATTCTTTAAACTCGAGATGGCATAAGTTTTGAGCACCCCCGTCACTTGTTCAATGATTCATTTGTAATTTCTGAGATCCTCCGTCACTTGTTAAGTGAATCATTTGGGAAATTAATTATGTTTACCATATAAACTTCATACTTTTTGTTCAGCTTGGCGGTGGTTATCTATTTGGCCTTCCAATTGGCATTATTGCTGACTCTATTGGTGCAACCATCGGTGCTGTAGCTGCATTTCTTCTTGGTGGAACAGTAAGTCTTGCATTAAATTATAGTTGTGATTTATAAAAGTCCAAAAATACTCCAATAGTTTCTGTTGAATATTCATCCATGAAGCACAAACTCCGACACAGACACGTCGACACTGCTAATGTAAAAAACATAAACATAAGACACTCACGGATGGATATATGTGGCGGGTTTTGTGCTCGACGCAATGGACGTCGACACTGCTAATGTAAAAAACACAAACATAGACACTCACAGATGGATATATGTGGTAGGTTTTGTGCTCGACGCAATGGTAAATATTAGCCACTATTGGGGGGTTCTTCGCCATAGACAATCTGAATTGAATCTTAGAATTTTGAATTGGTCCTAACTCAACCTTACAAAACTGATTTGTAAGATGAAGATTGTGCCCTCTTATAAACACTTCACATATCATATCTTTAAGCAATGTGTGACTAAATCTACCCCTTCACATCCAACACAATAAATGTATTAGAGGTTGCAATGAAGGCAATCCGAATGCCACATTTAGGCAACTAGGGGCGGACCACAATGAAGCCAGAATTTCCAACATTGAGCAATATATTGTTCAACTTCATTTACCCATCTACTGCCTAAAAGTTTAACATGATGTAATCAAACTTAAATTTTTAAATCCCTCATTGATCATCCTTGCTTCGACACATTTTTAATAACCGTCATAAATGTGTCTGAGACGTGTCCAAGAAGTGTCTAAGGTGCGTCGAAGCAAAAGAATTTTTTTTTGGGGGACATTTATCTAAGTCGTCAGACACATGTATTACGGTGTCAGGCACAGAGACATGCCTAATCCTAAAGATGTCCTTGCTTCATATATATTCGTTAATGTAGGCTTCTCTTGATTAGTACCGGATGCTCTTTCTTCATAAACATGGCTCTTTATATCTCGTTTGCCTTCCAGTTGGGATGCATATTGGTTCATGTTTATAGTTACTTGTTTCCTCTGAGGTTATTTATACATATAATTGTCTCTATATACAGATTGGGAAATCATTTGTTGTTGCTAAGTTGAAGGACTATCCACAATTTAGATCAGTGTCAATTGCAATCCAAAGATCTGGCTTTAAGGTTTGTATGGTTAATATTATTAGGCGTGTAAGAACTCTCAAAAGTTTAAGCTGTTAGGGGAAACTGAAAAGAAAAATAAATGGTTTTATTGCTTCTCTAAGATTAGTTAAAATGTTTTTATTGATAAATAGAAAATACTAATCATTGCTTAAGAAGGCTTGTTCTTATAAATCCTTTCTCATTTTGGTTTTTTAACTAACATTTGACGTTTTCTTCTTTTTCAGATTGTGTTTCTGCTTCGCCTTGTTCCATTACTTCCGTTTAATATGTTAAATTACCTCCTATCCGTGACTCCGGTTGCATTATGGGAATACGCATTGGCGTCCTGGTTAGGAATGATGGTATCTTATTCATCCTTGATTAATTATATATTGGGGTCTTAACCTAACAAAGTAACAATGAGTTTCTGTTTTCATGCTTTATAATATTCATAATCGTTGAGCACTAATAGGATTTCTGTGTTATTATAGCTAACTAGATGGCATTTCAGTTACAGTGTTTTCTTAATACCTGCTATGTTACTTTCGCAGCCAATAACGGTGGCACTTGTGTATGCTGGAACAACACTCAAAGATCTATCCGATGTGACACATGGTGGAGGAGAGTTCTCAAAGACTCGTTGGGTAAGAGATGTGATCCTTAATTACATATTAATGGGCAATTGTTTGGGTTAGGAAGTGTCTCATGTGATCTATGGTGGGCTGATGCTTGAAAACGCTAAAAACTACAAAGATGGCAGACGTCACTACCTTTAAGTAGAAGTTTAGGGTCTGCTACGTATTCACGGCTGAGACAGTGATCCGATCAGTGTTTATTTAGCAAAAACAAAAAACAAACAAAAATTGAGTTTTTGGGACACTAATAATTGTTTTTTATTATTTTTTGACAAACTGGTTCTGATTGGGACGCCATCTCAGTCGCGAGGACAAGTAATAATTTGAGCTTCTGACATCAAGAGTTTCAAACCATTTTCAACCATTGATCTACCGTAGACCATACAAGACACTTTCTCACTCTAGATGTCACCATATTGATGAGCCAAAAAACATATTGTTTTCCGATGAACATCTAAGTTGTCATGGAAGGTGTTATCCTTTGATTATCTTGACGAGATCAAATAGGTGGGGTTTATTCAACATTATCTTCAATTGATATATAATTAATTTCTCTCTTTTGGATGCAGGCTTTCTTAATTTTGAGTCTAGTCATATCTGGTAAGTCACATTCTTTGCTTGCATAAATGTAGAACAAGATTAAGACACTGTTACAAAAGTGTTTTCGTTTCTCTTTACGTTTTTAAATAAAAACCAAAACAGATAACACTTGTAGTGGTTCTGATTGGCCAAGCTGAATGTTAATTTCGTTAACTTGCAGTGGTTTTGATGATTTGTGTTACGAAAGTTGCCAAGTCTGCTTTAAATAATGCCTTGGCTGAATGTGGAGAAGACATGAGTAACACGACATCTTCCTCGGAACAGCCCATTGTCACTGAACCTTTAGTAGATCTCAATCAGCCTCTTGTTAATGAGATAGATCAGAATCAAGACAATCAACAACAGTAAACATGTAAACTACTGTGTGTAAATTCTTACTCCTCCCCACCTTCTAAAGGTTATTTATGTTTTTTTTTCTTACATAAAAAGAAAAGCTTAAGCAGTTTCTGCTAGTTGCTACTTATCTGTGATTTGTATTGTTCCAACATTAGAAACGGTTAATTATACAATCAAGATGAGGGCATTGCATATGTATAACAGCAGAAAAGTTCACAGTATGAACTATTCCTGATTTTCTGTGTTTGTTTGTACTTTTTACTTTGGATTGTGGCTCTATACTCGTTTTTTTTCCCTCTCCTAACCGGCCGTAATTAGGGTAGCTAGTGTTTTCATGGTTGTTGTACATGAAGAAAAGAAAAATGAAAATCGTTTTTAGGCCCCGATTTTAATAATTTTGTAAAAAAATAAAGGAAGAATGTAACTTGCAGCAAACAACACTAACCACCATAAAGATTTTCTGTTGAAAGTTGAAACCAACAGTTTTGGGCCATGCTTGTTTGTTACATGGTTCGCCGTCACACTTTCAGGTATAATTAGAAATGGTTAAGAGAATCTACGTAGTGCAACGCGAATAGTAAATGTTTGAGTCTCTTTACTATTTGGTTAAAGGTTCGTTCCATGATCGGTGTATATGTCGATAATATCTTGATTTTAAACAGTTCAGCAGACATAAAGTAAATAATTTTTTATCATAGGGAATGTTATTTATTTATTCATGCTGGATTAAATCAAAAGCAAACCCCTCCTTGAGATAAAGGTGAGGCAACAACACATGAGACTTCATCATGAACTTTTGAACACCTAGTATTGGTGACAATAGTCTTCTTTGTTACCAAAAAGAAACAAAAAGAAAAGTTATACACTACCAATTTTATAAAGTTCTGTCACAATAAACTTTTGTTATGTCTTCTTGTTGCTGAATCTTGTGCTGCAAGGGACCCTACCAATTCCTTGATATAAGGACTAAAGAGATTTCTGTAATTGCAAGGCTTCTAAAGTGCATCTCAGCACATACTTTTTCATTTTATTCTCTGACAATAGCCTCATTCTAAGCTTCACAAGAAAGATTGAGACACCTTGGTTCACAAAAGAACTAAACATATATTTCAAATGCAATGAGCACAAATAAGAAACATATGAAGACACACTCACTCATGGGGAAAGTGCAATGTTTTAGTCTTCCATCTCTTGGTGGTTGCTTTGACGGCTGCCGCGACCAAGCACAAGGCTCGGGATATGGGACGAGGATATGGAACCTAAGTGATAAGCCAGTGGAGCTGCAAATAAGGGTGGGATCAATACTGAAGAAGATTCATACACTGAAGCCAGGGTCTTCTAAAAGACTCAAACGTAAAAGCATATATAAGACATATGTTCCTAAGAGTGGAAGTGTTGGTGGAAGCTTGAAGAGTTTGTTGTATTCCTATGATGAAACTAGCCATCCTTATATTTGGATTCATGAAACAGGGTGTCATTCCTTAAAGATGGTTAAGCAGCAGTATATTAGTCTTGAGGATATGAGGGATTGTTCTGAGATCAAGATCTTTAGGGATCATCAAAGAGGTTCCATTTCAGTTCGGAAGAGAATGAGGCCAGATTTCTGCTCAACATGAATTTCAGACTATTTGTTTGTCATGAGTTGGAAGTGATATTTCTGTTTCTCTGTTCTCATTTTTTTTTCATTGTAAGTTGATTTTTTTTCCTTTTGCCTATATTGTTGTAACATAGTTCTTTTTTGTGTTTATCAAGATGTGGGAGCATTGAATGATTAGAAATTCTATTGATACTTTTTATAAATTTATTCTTTTTTAATTTTTGTTTTGAGGAGGCGCAAAAGACCCTACAAATAAAAACTAAACCTTTATTTAACTCTACAATAAGTGAATGTGTATCGGGAATATGAGGGGTCAAAGGAAGCAATACCCAATGCTGCCTGAAGGAATGTCCAGTGAGTATCAGTGTAGCACTTAGGTTGTCCATAACTTATCATAAGACGCCCAAATTATACTTGGCCATCCAATGTGATTTTCACTTGACCAATAAATGTGAGTAATGACGTGACTTATGTGCTAACATGACATATCAATCAGTCAATGAGAAAAACTATGTCTCCCATGCTTATAGAAGGAAAACATTTCTCATGTATCCCACGCTCCGGAAGGAAATGGGAGCATAATCATTCACGACTCCAAAGATCCAGGCCCAAAGAGTTTCTATAAACACCTCAATTTTAAGATAGACAGGACACAATCATCATTCACCTAGAAACTTAGATACCAAGCTTCTCATCATTGTACATGAGCTAGCTCTAACCATCATTTACAACCCCAAACATCACACAACCCTTCAAATACAGAGCTACCATTATTGTCTTTTTTTAGCAAATATAATTGGTGTCCACCGTGAGGCCCTGATAAAACTGATATGGGCCACCTTTGCATCGGACAGTCAAGTTGTTATCCACCTCTTCAACCTCCCTTTAAAATATGGTAAACATGCGAGTAACAACTTTGACCAAGAATAACTCTTACGACGACCAAGATGCCATAACGGAGATGTGCGCCGCTATGGATGATTTACGTCACCATAATCAGACTTTAGAGGACAATACCCTTCACATCCAGCAGCGCCAACAAGAGGCTGATCCCATTGAAGAGATAAAAAATTTGGATCCACAACCTCTCTCAGAAGAAATTTGGGGAGCTCTCATACCTGAAAGTTTCAAGTCACAGTTGCTCGCAAAGTTCGATGAAAGAAATGACCCTTAGGAGCATGCCACCTCCATTAATATGTAGATGGTGATCATTGGAGTCTCAGATTCCTTGAAATGAAAATTTCTTTTCAGCATTCTTAGGACACAACGTTAAGGTGGTGCATGAGTCTACCACGACTCTCAATCACTAGCTACCAGGACCTATTAAAAAACCGTCCCATCAATTTTCAACAAGCACGCACAGATGATGTTAAGGAGAGGACATTCGACAATCTTGACTCCTCACAATATGTGCAAGAATCATTACACACCTGTTAGATATGTGGAGACCTTTAAGCAGAGCACAAGGCCTATAAATAACTTCACGCCTGTGAATACTCGTCGTGAGAAGATATGTTACACGCACACACACACATATGATATTTCTTTTTTGTTGGCCCCTAAGTCAGACAGACATCATGGGACCTGAACGAAGAAGATGGTGCAAATTTCACAAAGTGAAGGACCCCCATATAAGAATGATATCAACTCAAGAAGGAGATTGAACGTCCCATCTAGGAAGGCCACTTGAAGAAATACGTCAAAGGCGGCTCCACCCAGTCACCAACTAGCTCCAAAAAATAGTTCAACCACAAAGACAATGCTAGTAACATCTTAGTATTTTCAATCATTCTCTCTTTGTTAAACTTCTTCATTAGTTTAGGGTTTATTTTTTTCTCTTCACCCAATGCCTCCATAACAAGAGTAATAACATTAAAATCTTTGTTGTTAGCATTATCTTTAACCCCTCTATAATTATATCTTTAAGTTGATCTTCCATCCATTTATCGCATATGAAGAGGTTTCATGTGTTAGGTGAGAATATGGACACAAAGATGTCTAAAGGGAGGGGGGGGGGGGGGGGGGGGAGGGGTGAATAGATCTTTTTTCCTTTAAGACAATTTCAAAAATATTTTAGGTCCCATATATGAAATTAGAGATTTTAAGAAGGGTGAAAGCAAAACACAAAAACAAGAGAGTTTGGAAGCATCTCAATGAATTAAACTATATAAAATGATACATGATGTTCATTATACACTTGATTGCTTCTAATGTAAGTCAATCATAAGATAACCAAAGTAGCTTTAAACAAAGCTATTTCAAAAATCTCTACATAAATGTTCTATTAAGTCATTATTGGATTCACGACACTTAAATAAGATTGATATACCACAAACCTAAGCTTATACATTAAATCTCTATAAGAAAAGTCTAACTTATATGACATATAATCAATGCAATGATGTACTAATGCAATGTGAAAATGATGAATACTATAAAATTAAAAGGAGACAAGGGACGAAGAAAAGATACACATAGATATATAGTGTTTCGAAATTCGTCCTTGCATTTCATACTCCACTCTTCAATGGTGTTGAAAACCATTGGAAAGTAATCACGATCTTCCACTATTTTGATGATTTTAATTACAAGCATTTTGGTTACAATGAACTATCAAACGATAATTCTCTTTGTTGAAGCATATACTCAATTGCTAACAAAAACAAGATCTCTAAAATATCTAGATCCAATAACCTTACTATCCACAATAATTCTGCTCCAAGTATTCGTATGTGGAAATCCACCTGATTCCATTGATCTCTTGTCTGAGCAATTTCCATAGCCAAGTATTGATTGGACAACTCCCAAATTTGTCTGCGATCGATCTTTCTCCAACTCCACCAAAGTTGAACAACTCTCATGCCCGTCTTATGGACAATTGATACTAAATATTTCCAAAGTATTCCTTGGAGTATAATGGAAAATCTATTCTTGATAGATAACATCAGATACTAAACTGCATTCAAGAAACGATACATGCATCTGTTACAAACAACAAACTTCACACAAAACATTAGATATCCTAATATACCACTAGTCTCCCTCAACACTCAATCTTTATATATTTAGATATGAAGGTCCTGAACAATGGAATAAGACTAAGGATGAAGATGATAAACAATGCCAGAATATCTCACAGTCACTCTAAAGGCACAAGATGTTAGTCAAGGGTTTAGGTCAAAGTGAATGAAGAACACACACACAAAAGGTTCTCTCAAATTTATGGATAAATGAGTCTTAGCTTTGGTTTTCATAAAGAGATTGATTAATCATGAACAACACATCAAGATTAATTAACTCCCCCTCCCTAATTCACTCAACACAACAACAAATAACACAAGAACAATATGAAACAAAAAGGAGAATGAATTTGACATAAATTCATAATCAAGAAGTTGTTCTAGTGAAGAAGATA